GAATATTATGCCGCCATAAAGAAGGACAAACATATGGACTTCACAGCAACTTGGATGGATTTAGAGTCGATCATACTCAGTGATCTATCACAGAAACAAAGAACAGAGTACCACATGTTCTCACTCATAAGCGGACCTTGAACAATTATCATGATACTATAAGAAAGGGATTGGCAGTAGTGAGGGAAACTGCCAGGGGAGGGAGGGACATACCTCATCAACAAGGGTACCTCCATAATGAACACCTGTATATCTAACCCTGAATTGCACCCCACATCTTTGAAATAAAAAAATTCATCCTGCGCATCTTCATCTTTTGATTAGAGAGTTTAATCCATTTACATCCAAATAAATTATTAATAAGGACAAATGGACTTCTGTCATTTTGCTACTTATTTTCTACATGTACTGTAGGTTTTTATTGCCTCTCATTTCCTGCATCTCTGTCTTTTGACAATTTAATCTACTATGTCTTGGAATGGGTTTGAGTTCATCCTACCTGAAATATCTTGAGCTTCTTAGATATTATATTCATGTCTTTCATCAAAGGCTGATAAAATGGAAAAACTTCTAATAAGACTGATCAGTAGTTTTAAAAAGGCATGAAATTATTAAGGCATATAACTACAGATGCTGCAACCATCTGTAGTAATGATTGTCTTGAGAAAGATGATGTTATATACAATGGGGTACCCCCCAAAACCCAGAATTTATATATAAAAAATTGTGTATTTATTCTTACATGTTTAAACTTCAGTCATCTTCAAAGTATTCTGTGTTTGATGCAATACATCTATTGAGATACTTCTGTCCCTGCTAAACAGTTTTTGAACTCATCAACTTTGACACCTTTTAGTGCTTCTGCCGTTTTTGTTTCGCCTCTTCCACATCGGCAAAACATTTCCCTGTGAAGACTTTTTTCATCCAGGGAAATAAAAAAAAGTTATTTGGGATGAGAATGGGTGAATAGCTTGGGGAGGGGGCACAGAGGTCATGCCATTTTTAGTCAAGAAACTACTGAGCACTCAGCACGTTGTGGGGAGGTGTACTTGTAAATCACCCATTATGATGGGCAAATGTATTAAAAGAATCTTTAAAAAAACAAACAAAAAAACACAACTCACTGAAGCCCAACGCAGCTTCTCATGGCCACTGCAGCTGGTATACTGATGCCAATGGACTCCTAGAACACTTATCCAGCAGGGGAAGCCTGTACTTCAAGGGGCCTACCCTCCAAAAAATAATTCCAGGTATTTCTTAGGGGAGATTCCCCTTTGTATACATTTTACTAGTAAAAAATTAGATCAGCAATTCTCAAAGGGTCACTCAGGGACCTCTGGAGGTTTCCACAAGGCCCAAATTTCCTTTGTAATAATACTAATATATTATTTGATGTCTTCATTCTCATTCTCTCATTAATGCATGGTGGAGTTTTCCAGAGACCACATTGGTGAAGTTGAAGACATGATATGGGAAGCAAAATTCTATAACAGATCCCAAGATTCCCAACCTCTGGTATATATCCCTTGTATAATTCCCTTCCATTGAATTAGGGGAGACCCATGAATATGACAGGATAATTACACCCTCGATCAGGTTATAAGACAAAGGTGATGAGAAAGTTATTCCCATGACTTCATTACATCACATAATACTTAATCATAACAGACTGGAGAGATAGTCTCTTGTTGGCTTTGAAGAAACAAGCAGCCATGCTGTGAAGGCTACGTGGCAGGACCTGAATGTGGCCTTTAGGAGCTGACAGCAAAGTCCTGCCAACAGTCATCAAGAATGCAGAGATGACCTCACTCCTATAACTATGAGGAACTAAACTCTGCTAACAACCAGTGAGCTTAGAAGAGATTCTAATCCTCAGATGAGATTGCAGCCCCAACTGACATCTTGACTTTAACCTGGTAAAACCTAAGCAAAGGATCTTTTTACCCACACCTGTGAGATAATAAATGTGTGTCATTTTAAGCCACTAGGTTTGAAGTAATTTTTTAATACAGCAATAAAAACACTAAAGCACACAGCATAGAATCTATCCAAAATTAAGCAAATAAACGAAATAGGCTAAAAATAATAATGAATAGCCTCAGTAATCTATGGGATAATATACAAGGGGTGGGATCAAAAATACTGGAATTTATTTATTTAAAAATTTGCATATATTCTTTACATGTTTAAACTTCAGTCACCTTAGAGTACTCTCTGTTTGATGCAATATCTACTGAGAGGCTTTTTCCACTGCTCAGAACAGTTTTCGAACTTGTCAATTTTGAAACTTTTAGTGTTTTTGCTATTTTTTGTTTCACCTCTTCTACACTGGCAAAATGTTTCCTTGTGATCACTTTATCTTGGAAACACACAAAAAAGGTTGCCTGGGGCAAGATTGGGTGAATAGGGAGGGTAAGGCACAGGGTTTGTGCCATTTTTGGTTTAAAAAAACAAACAAACTGCTGAACAATCAGTGCAGTGTGGGTAAGCACACTTGTAAACCACTCATCATGAGAGGGGCAAACATGTTGAAAGAATACTAAAAAAAAAATTTGCTGATGCCGACTGCAGCCTCTCATGTTAGCTGATGCACTGATGCAGATGGGTTCCTAGAGTACTTACTTAGCCGGGAAAGCCTGTACTACAAGAGATCCATCCTCCAAATAATAATTTTGGGGGGGTCCCCCCCTCATACTGTCACACATTCATGTAAATGGAATCCCAGAAAGCAGTCAGGGGCAGAGGTACTTGAAGATATAAAGGCAGAAAATGTGTTCAATGTGATGAAAATTATACTCTGACAGATCTAAGAATCTAAGAACCCTTACAAAAAGAACAGAGGCAAGACAACTGAAGCCTTCCTAAGAATCTATGTAAGACAGACAACCAAGGATTGACTCCTTTATATTCCTGAAAAATAGAACCTCAAGCTAGAGAGGCCATGAATGCCTTCGGGTGGCGGGTGTGGCATGAGCAGGTGCAGCAGTACAGGCCCATCCTGAAGGCAGTGTGGTGCCAGATGTGGTCCTCTGTGCTTAGTGTCCGAGGCTCCATTCTCAACTGAATACATCTGGGCGTGGCTATGGCTGAAGTCCTGGCTTCTGGCTAGTTTTCCTCATTCCTTCCCTGATTCTAAACTTAGTCCTGCACCTTCTAGATGTCTCTTGGAGGTCCCCAAATAGGCTTTCAATGCATTTCCTTCTGGCTGGGTCAGGCAAAACTGATACCTGTAACAGGCAACTAAGAAGTCTTAACAGAGGGATAATTCTTCTTTTCTACTCGCCTTATTTTCTTACCACCATTTCAACATGGTGGGGGTGGGGTGGGGTCAAGTTAACTGAGTAAGACATTAGACCTACCTCCATTATCCAAATTTAGACAGTTCTTCAAATTTGCCTTTAAAACTTCTTTCTCAACTGTGTTTTCCTCACCATATCCATGTTCTAGTCATTTCTTGGCTGGATTACTGTTATGGGTTGATTTATGTGCCCTCCTCCCCTAACCCTCCATGCGACTGTATTTGGAGATAGGGCCTTCAAGGAGACAATTAAGGTTAAATGAGGTCATAAAGGTGGGATAATAATCTGATAGAACTGGTGTCCTTATAAGAAGAGGAAGACAGACCAGAAATCCCCCTCTCCCCAAGCACATAAAGAGAAAACTCTATGTGAGGACACAGGGGAAAGGTAGCTATCTAGAAGCTAGGAAAAGCGCCCTCACCAAATTAGGGCTCCCCACCAAATTTACCAGCATCTTGATCTTGGACTTCAAGCCTCAAGAAATGTAAGAAAATAAATTTCTGTTGTTCAAGCCACCAGTCTATGGGGTGTTATTATGGCAGCCTAGCTTACTAATACAACTACTGACAATCATACAGCTGCTGGAATACAGCCTTCGGCTTCTTAACACAGCCAGGAGAGGGGATCTTCTTAAAATCCATGTGACTCAGAGTTACTGAAGATCTCTCTGCTTCATAGAGAGTTGGGTAAACTTGGCTTAAACTTTCCGTTTCACAGCATATGAAACACTATTATTCTCCATTTAATTTACTCAAATTTCTTAACATCTTTTTTCATGGTCCCTGTGAATCCATTCCTGCAATCCTAAGTGGTATATCAGTTCAACCCATCTGCTGGGTTGAATCTCAGTATTTTCAGGAATCTCAGGATCTTCTTGTCCACAAGAAATTAAATTAATTCAGGAATCTCAGGATCTTCACCACTGTCCACAAGAAATTAAATTAACTATTGATTCTGTGACTGTACCAACTTTACTTATGACTCCAGGAGCTATGGAAGGAAATTGTACGCTGTATTGCAGGCTTCTGCCTCTTACTCTTTGACATTGCATTGGCTTCCAAAATTTGTAACTCACTATATAATTATCCCACAATCTTCTAGCTTCCCTTCCCCTTACTGAGCCTGTTTGACTTCCTCAGTCCTTTATACAGAAATCTAACCATATCACTCCCTTACATGAAACTCACTGGCGATCTCCTGATTGCCAATATGTAGAGACTAGTCTAGCATTCCAGGACCTCTGAAGTTTTCTTCCTCCAGCCTTTTGTATCACCCACAAATGAAATCTAGAAAGCACCTGCAGCCCTAATGGGCATGGCAGTTACTTTGTCCTGGATCTAGAAGTCTGGCCCAATGGGGTCACCTGCTATACTTTTGCCTGCTTCCTCTCTGCTCCTTGAGGGCCAGCCCACCTCTCTTGAGCCATGCTCCACACAGCTTTCTGTTATCTTTAGCCCCTCTCTAAGTGCCTGGCACAAAGTGAGTACTCAATAACTGTGTGCCTGATATGAAGAAGTGAAAAAATAAACACCTGTATTGAAATCTTCCAAAGGACCTCACCGCTTAGAGGATGAAGTCCAAAATCTAAAGCCTGATGTAAAGAGTCCTCTAGAATCTGTGCTCACCCTCTTCTTTCCCTAGTTCCTATTCCCCAATTTCCCAGGCACCCTTAGCTCTTTTCGAAGACATGAAAAGCAGCCCCTGTCTCTGGAGGCAAGGGGTAGGGATGGAGAGAAGGAGTGGGCTAGGCCTCTGACTTTACCTGTGAGAATGCTGGAATTGTCGAACCCTTTTTCTTTTCTGATCTCTCTCCGCCTGGAAGGAAGCAGACCATCTGTGAACTCACAAACCTCTTCCAACAAAGGCAACTGTCCAAAACAGTGGCCAGAAGGCAAGCATTATCCAGCCAGATGCTCACTTAAGCAGAGTTTGCACTTCCCCACTTTAAAGGAAAGTCACCAATCAAGAAATGATGGGATCTAAAGAGGCATGGTCTTCTCTAACTAACACTCCTCTTCCAGGATGTTCCTTCATTCTTCCACCCTAAAACTTACAATTCTTGGCCAGAAGTGGTGGCTCAAGCCTGTAATCCCAGCACTTTGGGAAGCCAAGGTGAGAGGACTGCCTGAGCCCAGGGGTTTGAGACCAGCCTGGGCAATTTGGTGAGACCTCATCTCTACATAGGTGAGACCTCATCTCTACATATATCAACAACAACAAAAAAATTAGCTAGGTGTGGTAGCACATGCCTGTTGTTCTGGCTACTTGGAAGACTGAGGTTGAAGGATTACTGGAGCCAGCAGGCCATCGCTGGGGTAGCTGTGAGTGTGCCACTGCACTCCTGCCTGGATGAGGGAGTGAGATTCCAACTCAAAAACAAAAACGAAAACAAAAAACCCCCTGCAATTCTGCAGTGTTTGCCTGCAAAGATTCTCAAATGTCATTTTCTTAGACAAATAGACTATGGCCCAGAAAGGGGCAGGGTCACACAGTAGCTAAGGGGCAAAGCCAGGGCTAAAACTCTCTTCCTGGTTTGTGAACTTGCTCTCTGTATTCTGCTCTGTGCAGTGTCATGGAAGTTAGGAATGTAGAGGTACTTGTTCTAGATAACCTTCAACCCCTGTCCTCTCCCAGCTGCTCCACACTGAATCCATAGCAACAGGCTTGAGTAGGCTTTAGTTGGAGAACTCAACCTGAAAATACCATCTTTTGTTGGGGAGGTGAAAGGGGCAAGAGGACCCTCAGACTGCATGAGAAGAGTCGAGAGGTTCAGATTATAAACCCTGTCTTGCCATGTGGAATTACAGGAAGAGTTTTTTCCTCAACTTTCTATAAGAATCCATTCATTACTTTTATTTTGAAAAAAAAATCATTTAAAATTACAAATATATACTTACCAGTGAAAACAAAATATGGCAACAATAATAATTGCAGAAACAGTATCCACAAAAAGCCATATGAACATATAGAATCTTGGTGTCTGCAAAATACAAAACAAACCACAGTGAAAGAACTTTATAGTCAGAAGGGATTTTAAATCATATCGGCCAAGTCCCCTGCTTTGCTTCCAGGGCTGGAGGAGGAGAGGAAGAGGGGATAAATCAGGCCAAGAAATCTTGACGGATGTGACATTCTCAAACCCAGAGAACTTGCAGCTATCCTAACAGTCACCCTCACACATGCAGGGAACGCTACAAGGAATAAAACACACCTTTCATCTCCCTTGACTCTCAAGACAGAAGTCAGAGGGAGCCCCTCTGACACAGCCTATTCTGCACTTGGACTCCAGTGCAGATTTCTTGACGACTTCTGCTATGTTTTCATGACACGGCTTTTCTTTATTTTTTATTTTAAAGATGTGGGGCACAATTCAGGGTTAGGTATACAAATGTTAATTATGCAGGTACCCTTGTTGATGAGATGTGCCCCTTCCTCCCCTGGCAGTTTCCTTCAACTACCAATCCCACCCCCACCCCCTGACAGTTTCCCACTGCTGCCAATCCCTTTCTTATAGTATTATGATAATTGTTTAAGGTCCGCTTATGAGTGAGAACATATGGTACTCTGTTCTTTGATTCTGTGGAAATAGCTTTTCAAACCTAGCTTTGCAGCCAGATCTCCCTGGGCAGCTTTAGTAATAATGGTTGGGTCTCACTAGGGACCTAAGGAATCAGAATCTTTACACTTTTTAACACACTCCCCAGGTGATGCTGAAGCAGCTGGTGTGTGACGCAGCATTTGGGAACCACAGTTCTAATTCAATTCACCACTCTTTAATTAAATATGCTGAAATATAATCTCACCTTCTCTAGATGCCCCCCCTTCTCTATGTGCCTGCCAAATCACCTCTTTCCCAGAGTTCCATCTCCTGGGTCCTCCCATGTGAGTTTGATCTTCCCCTTCCACCTCCATTTCCCCCCCTTCGATTTCATGTGATGCTACTGGGGCTGGCACTTTTTATCCTTTCTCAGACCTTTCTTTCCTTGGGATGAAGAAGAATATTAATTATAATAACAGCAACACTAATGATCACAATAATAATGAAAACACTGACTAACAATTAACAAACATTTACAAGGAGCCAGGCAAGTGTTTTAAGTACTTTAGGGGTATTTTCACATCTAATCTTCACAACAACCCTACTAGTAGAAGTTCTTAACCAACTTCCACTAAACTGAGGCTCTTAATCCCATCTGGGAAACATACTGACTGATGCTGGGTCTGCTGATTGCTCCAAGATGCCTCCCAGGTGAGCTGAATGTTAACTAAGAATCAGTTGTTCTTATTTCCAAAATGGCTTGGGTCAATTGTATTTGTGATTGTAATTGCACAATGTAATTAGATGTTGCTTAAATCTGTAAAATCTGAGTGAATAAAAGTATGTCATTAAAAATAACTAAGTCAAATGCTTTGCAAAACTCAATGAAGACAAAATAGGTTATTAAAGAATAAACTGCAATTGGATTTGGTGTGGATGAAACACTAGAGGAAACTGGAGTAGGGGACTATAAAAATCTAGGTAGATTCCTCATTCATATTGAGACTCCCAATGACTCAAACAGTTCTTGTTCTGTTTAAAAGAAACACAATTAGAAATCATAAATAAGCAAGAGAACAGAACTCGATCAGCTGAAGTACCCTAAAGAAAAGACTGTCTCTATATCAAAAGGTGGATGAATATTTTTAATTAAAATAAAATGCATGAGGTACATATGTGATATTCTGTTTAGAGACATTACCACAAAATTCCTTCCAAACCTATATGTGGCCTCTATGCAAGGTGACTTAGCTGTGCTCCCTATCAAGAGGTGAAGTCTGTCTCTCTTGCCTTGAATCTAAACTTGGCCATGTGATTTTCTTTGGCTAATGGAACATGAGCAAACATAACAGAGAGAACCTTGAAAAGTGTGTGCGCTTTGGGGCTTACCCCCTCTGCTGGTTGAAAGCCATTACCACCAGGTGAACACACACACTAGCCTCCTTGAGGATAAGTGATGAGAGACCCTGGTCATGCCAGGTGAGACTCCAGACAAATGAGGGAGACCATCCTAGACCATCCAGCCCAGGCAACCTGACTCAAAACAGAGGAACCATTTAGCCATCATCTGGAATATGAGACAAAAAATATTTGTTTAAGACACTAAGTTTTTTGGCCAGACGCAGTGGCTCATGCCTGTAATTACAGTACTTTGTGAGGCTAAGGTGGGAGGATTGCTTGAGCCCGGGAGTTAGAGACCAGCCTGTACAACATAGGGAGACCTCATCTCTACAAAAAAAATTATTTAAATGACCTGAGCGTGGTACTACGCACCTATAGTACCAACAACTCGGGAAGCTGAGGCAGAAGGATCGCCTGAGCCCAGGAGGTCAAGGCTGTGATGAGCCATGATCATGCTATTGCACTCCAGTTTGGGTGACAGAGTGAGAACTCAACTAAAAAAAAAAAAAAAAAAGACACTAAGTTTTAGATTTTTTTTATTAAGTATTAAAAGCTAACTGATAAAGTGTACATCATTAAAAAAATCATTCCCCACTTTAACTATCTCAACTACCAGATCAATGATCAGACCAGATCGTATTAGATACAAGTGCTTCTATTATACTATTACCTTCAATTTACAAACAAAACAAAACACAAAAATCACAAACAATATTTCCAAATTCACAGAGTAAATGGTGGAGCTAAGATCTGGATCTGCAAAGTCTAATCCCAGAGTGTGGATTGCCTAGAAAGCTTTGGGTACTGGCCCCAACTCCCTGAACAAAAGGACACATGATATACACTAGAATCCCATGCATTGGGTCCCTCATAAAAGCCCAAACCAGGTGTGGAAGGAAGATTGTTTGTTTTACTTATATCCTTTCATACTTTTTGGATTTTGAATCACATGAATTTATCAATTTAAATATTAAAATGAAAAATGCTTTCAGAAATAGTAGCATCATTTAAGCAAATGTGTACCTTCCAAAGGGACAATTTGAGACATTACTGATTCGGAGGAATAAGATTATGGAGAGGTGTGCTGCTTTCTGATTTATGAATTTTCATAATGACTGAGTTTAAAAATGTTAGCAAAACACATAGCATATACATGAAGGGGACGTGTATAGGGATAGGCAAGTGGAAAGGTTCCACCTGTGCGAACAGACATGCCTTCCAAAGTTCCCTTCAGGGTCATTTCAGAAAGTTGCCTAAGCCACAGAGAGAGGAGTCAGTGATTTCCCATTCCCACCAGAAGACCTTGCTGCAGTGCCTTTGACCCCGATCCCCTTTCCTGGTCCTAACCCTGAAGAGGTCAGAAACTAAGGCCAGTGAGGGTGGAAGTATGGAGAGGGCAAGCTGAGACCCTTCCCCACTTGGGGTTCTCTGCCTAAAGCTTTAACTTTCAAGGCAGTTTGGAATTTGGGTTATTACTTTAGACTGGACATTTTATTTCTAAGTGAGGCTTTTTGATAACTAAAAGTAAACTTTGGGAGGCCAAGGTGAGAGGATCACTTAAGCCTGGGAGTTTCATACCAGTCTGGGCAACAAAGCGAGATCTCGTTTCTACAAAAAATAAAAAAGTTAGCTGGGCATGGTGGCATAAGCTTATAGCCCTAGCTACTCAGAAAACTGAGGTGGGAGGATTGCTTGAGCCCAGGAGTTTGAGGCTGCAGTGAGCCACGATTATGCCACTGCACTCTAGCCTGGGCAACAGAGTGAGATCCTAGCCAAAAAACAAAAAAATCTAAGAGTGACTGTAAAAGCTATGGAACCTGACTGAGATTTCATTCAGGGGCAGGAAAAAGCCCAGCTCAAAGACCAGATGTAAAGAATCAATAGATCAAAATTAAACTATTTTTCTGCTGTTTGCTATTGTGTCCTACTCAGTCAACCTACTCTCTGTACAGATAAGTAAAACAGGTTCTGTAGCATTAGCTGGGGCTCCTTCACAGACAATAAGGGATGGGATTTAGCTGGGATGGTAAGCTGGGTCTTCAGGTCCTCAAGCCTCTGGCAGTGAGCAACAGAAGGGCTAGAAAAGGAAGCCAAGCCGGGCTCGGTGGCTCAGCCTGTAATCCCATGTCTTGGAGGCTGAGGTGAGTGGATTGCCTGAGCCCATGGGTTCGAGACCCACTTGGGCAACTTGGTGAGACCTCATCTCTACAATAAA